GATAGATAGATAGATAGATAGATAGATAGATAGATAGATAGATAGATAAAAAGATAGGTGTGTTCACTTCCTTCTTGAAGTCTGTATGGGTGGGGGCGATCGTTATCTCATGGAAAACTCTTCTAAAAGAAAGTGTTTCTTTATACGGACTGTCCACCGCTTATTGGTAGCAAGAGAAACCTTAGAGAGTGCTGCCTAGTCATTTAGATAGGCTGAGGAGAAATTGTTGGCGAAAGGCATTCCCTAAGACACCCAGGGCCAGTTATGGCTCATACAATTTTCAGCAAGAAAATGCTTGGCTAGTTGTGATAATGCTGAATGAATTCTTTCACTTATGTCTAATTTCCCAGCTCTTAAGCCCTCTTTTTTAGCCCCCAAATATGCAGAGTAATAAGGGAAACTTCGGTGTTCTTTTGTCTTTCAGCAACAACGTTCTTCCACCATATCAATTTACAGTATAGTACCATCTCCGAATTCTGTACAGGAGAATCATGTCAGACCATGGCAGTATGCAATACGTAAGTTGTAGCTTTTTTGTTGCATTTTGATGGCATGAATGTTTCTTCTTTTCCAATTGAGGGATGCAAAACAATTGTCCCTCTGAGGCTGAATGTTTCTCCATTATGGTGGAGATAGCATACAGGATTGCTGTTAACTCAAAATAGGAAAAAGGTAATGGAAATAGCATTGTCACTGGACTTCAGATAATGTTAATAAAAGGTAAAATCTACCTAGCTGGCATTTAGATTTTCAGGTAGATATTTCACTATTTCCATCTACCCTTCTAGTTTGATATTCCTAAGGACAAATATACTGGTAGTAACTGTGGCGTGGCATTCCAAAACTGTTCCAAAAAACATTAACATTTTAAAAAGAGATCAGTCAATTCAGAAGGCTAAAACGGAACTTCCTGTTATGTGACATTTCATTTGGATTCAAGAGATTAGAATACTCACTTAGGAATGGCATCCACATTTCCAGCATGGGAGGGGCAGAGCACAACAGCATAGGAAAAATCTTACCTGAATCAGCATACATTATTTTTTCTTCTTATTCTGATCCTTGTAGTCACTTTCTCTTGCAGAAAAATATTTCCAAATCCTATCTGTTTTAGTTTATTCTGTCGAGGTTTGTTTGTTTGCTGTTTTCATTTGGCTGCAGCTCTGTTTCATATAAATTTTGTTCATATATCAGCTCAGACTTTAGTCAGCACCTTAACTTAGCTGCTTGTTGATTTCAACGCTCATACTAATGATCTCTCTGATTCAGTTGTTTACTATTTCCTCTTCCTGCCTGCTTCAGTTTTCAGTGTCACTTCTATATATTGGTTTAGGCACTGTTTTGATTAGTCAGAGTACAACAATATTTAGAAATCCTATTTTGAGACCCCTTTCACTGCATAAACATAAACAGTTAAAGGATATTATTGTCCAAAAATCAATACCTAACTTAAAAAATAGATTGTAAGTAGAAGTGATCATTTAATACAATTAACACAAAATGATCTTAAAACTAGTTCTTTAAAATTTATCATGAAACTCCAAAGCAAACTATAACTTAAGTTCAATGTTGGATTTCAATCACATATTTCTCAGTTGTGCAGCTTCATAATACTTCTTGAGACTGAAGATATCCAGTCAAAATAATCTGCTCTAAAAACAAAATCTTGATTTTTTTAAAAAAAAATCTAAATGTATGAAGGACAAAGGCAAATTTTCTTGTATTCAATTTTGGGTGGAGAAACATTGGTTGAAAGAACCTGAAATAATTACCACGTAGATAATAAAGATATCTTGAAAGCAGCACTTCAAAAGCTTAATTCTATTCCAACTTCTGATTTTCTTTTTGAACCATTTGGTGACTAACACAAAATTCAGTTTATTTACCTACATAAGTAGTTAGTAATTTTAATTTGCAAATGGGTAAACTGCTTTTAAAGTTTTGGGTTCATACAGTTTATTGTCACTCTAGCTTTTAAGCCCATATTAAAATCAAAACATAAAATTTTTGAATAATTAAGCTTTCTTGAATTCATAGAAAAACTTTATGGTTAAAGCTGTACATTTGTAAAAAGATGAATGAAACGCTCCTTTCCATTAATCTTCAAACATCTGATTCTATTACTTGCACTAAAGGCTCCATTGTTGATATAAACAATAATGGTGAAAGTGGCCAACTCTTGTTGATAGTTCTATTTATTGTAAAATATTCTGAAATTCAGTACTTTATCCAGAGTTTTACTTTAATTGTTATTTTGTTTGTTTATTGGTTTTATAAGTTGCTGAAATCACTCTAGTTCTTGAGAGGCATACATCTGTAAACCAGATTAAAAGCAAACATATATAATAAAAATAAAAACACATTAAAGATCCCTTCAAACTCTTCATATTTGAGTCATGTACTGTATGTGAGGTGGACAGATATAAAAATTGAACAAATAAAAATAAGCATGGGATGCATCACTTAGTATACCACCATATATTACTGTTGAAAATTATTAACAAGATTTTCTCCCATTAAATTAATTAATTTAAACAAATAAGGCTATTGGAGTTCATCAAATAAAACATTTGTAAAATGTTAAAATGGGTTTTACAACATTTCCCATGCAAACTACAGTTAAAAATTCTAGCTACACTAGCTATGTTTAACTTTTATTACAGGTAGCCAAATAAAATAAATTAAACAAAATAGTGGCAGCAAAAAGAAATAGTGTAGTGCTATTTTCATAGAAGTCTGCAGACATAAGCAAAGTACATGTAAGACTTAGAGAACATGTTTAAATTTTGTCTGCATGAATTTCCTTTTTGTTTACAGTCAATAGAACAATACAATTCAATACAACAATACAACAATAGCTATGCATCTATTGGATCTACTACTGGCTGACCTTTGCATATTTGTTCTGTGGTAGAATAATAAAAAAAAATCATATGGTGCAGAAGTGTGTGTTTCTGTGTGTCTGTTTAGCTGTTACTATACTATACTAGGAAGCTTCTGTATAGATTATTGTTTCTTAAGGATTTTTATAGATTATTGTTTCTTAAGGATTTGCCTGTCTTTAAGACTATCGCTATCTCTCCATTTTATTCCAGTTTCTGTCGCCAGATTTTGCCAGGTTTTTTATTGTATATAGAGACTAAGACTTGCCAATCAGAGCACCAGTTTTGAGCTTGCCTAGAGACAGATGTCAAAGTTTAATGTTTAACTTATTTTGTTTCTTTGCTAAAATGGGAACTTCCCCTATTGATTGTGTGAAGCAAGATTTTCCTGTTGCTGTTTTCTCTTTGCCCTTTGATCTTTTTCAAAACTTTCATATGGAATTTATTTTCTTCAGCTCATGACTGTTTAAAAATATATAAGACACAACTTAAATCCTCTTTTGAGTACTATGAAAACATCTCATAGTCTAACCGTTTCTGAAAATGGTTGCGTGCAAAGTACCATTTTTGTGCTCTGAGCCAATATTTGTTAACCTATCTTGACACAAAATAGTTTTGTTTGTTCACGAAAGAATCCTTTACAAAATGAGGGTGGTAGGCTTAAGCCTAAATTCTTATAAAGAATGAAGTTTGTTAATTTCATCTTTTTCTACGCAGAAAAGGTTTTGTTTCCTATCAAAGATGGAGATATGTAAAATAAATTGTTCTGGTTCAGAAGGGAGCACCAGAGCATCTAGAAAAGCAGACCAATCCAAGTACAGAGGCCTCTCACTCATATTCTAAAACATTCAGAAAGAAAAAGACTTTCAGAAGATTAGGAAGAAGGTTAGATTGCCCACTTTTGTACTAGAAACTTTTCGTGTCTCCCAAAATTTTAGGCTTTGATTTTATTCTTAACACGCAAGCTCAGGGAACATAGACTGCTGTTGTTTCTTAATCTTAATTTTGGAATGACTTCTGGACTTCTTCATCCATGTCGATAAACAAAGGCGTGTGATAAATTTTTCCTACATTCTGTCCTTATTAGTCTGCATAAATGAAGAAAGGTCATTTATGTTCAACCTATTTGGGATTATGATAGAATATTAGATATGCGTTTTTGGAATATCCCCCTTTAATCTCCTCGTAAAAAATGAGGCACAAGAAGGGCCCTGGGCAAGGATATTATCTAACTGCTGACCTCCAACCATTAGGCAAAAGGAACAAAGTCTTACATTTGGAAAATGAAATCTTGTCCTTTTGGAAAAGTAGTCTTCTTTTAGAGATTCTTCAGTGACTCCACTAATGATCAGAGTAGTTTGAATTTGGTGGGATTCCATTTCTATTCTCTTCACTTGCAACTGAGTTTTTTTTTTAAAAAATAAAATAAATCTCGAGTCAAATTCTTCTTCTCTATCAAGAATGAGAGTTGTTGTTTAGATGGCATTTTGAAGGTAGGTTGAGCTCCTTAGACAGTTTATCTGAAATTGTCAAAATTCCACTAGTGATAACACAGATTGGTAATTGATGTTGCTTCATACAATAAGGTTCTCACTAAACAATGGTTAAAACATTGTAAATCAAAGTTTGTTGCCCTCCAATTAGAATTATGACTTTACATTTTTCTATCCAGCCTAGCCAATGGTCTTCCTGGCTGGGAGATACAAGACAACATATATAATGGGGTCAAGGTTAGGCTGGCTGAAGTTAATTGAACACCAAAATTGATGATAAACCTCACAGTGAATGGAGCTGTGTAGCTTATTTATTGAATGTGAAGAACATTAAATTTAAAATCCAATTTGTACAATTTATACAGTTTAATTTTTTCCAGGAGCTCAGGTTCACAGTACTCCCTCTTCTATGTTTTTTCCCCACAAAAACCACCTCTGGGATAGGAGGGACTGAGTGCAAAGAAGCTCAGTTGAGCTCCCATGGCTGGCTTGAAACAGGGGTGTCAAGCTCAACTTCTTAGCCACCGCCCTACTCTGGCTCTGCAAATAATAACACACCTATGACAATTAAGTATGTGTCATATATTTTCTCTCAGCAGTGTAAGATTTCATTGAATATTAAGTTAATTATAAATGCTGGTACTAGATTTAGACATGCACTAATACAGTCTGAAACCCCATGAATGAAATGCACCTTTACATGTAATATGCATTCCTTTTAAAAACATCATGGAAAGAGCACAGAATCTTTATTCATATAGTTGTGATGAAAATACTTCCTTTGAAGGAGCTTTTTGAATTGATGTGATACTTCTCAGAAATGTCTCAGTAATAGCCTCAACATTTATCACCACCACAAACTACAATTTATACTTAAAAATGCACATAAAATTAGTTTTATGTTGAAGACTAGCTGGAGAATTATGCTAGCTACTGTATGGGATTTATTATGTTAAAGTTATCTGTTATTATGCTGCCACCTCCTGACAGCTCATGTTATTATACAAAATCTGCTGCACTTGCATGTATCATCAGCCTGTGGTTGCAAACAGAATCCAAGAGCTTACAATTCTGCATTAAGTTGTTTATTCTTATATTTTTGCATTTATTTTCTATTAATAAGATGCAGGCCTGAATTTGAATACAAAAGGATATGCTCAGAGAAAGATTAATTCAACAGAATATATACTCAATTTAAATATATATTTTAAATTGGAACTTGCAAATTGTTGCCTATAACTACAGTCATCCATTTCATGGGATTAATCCCTTAGCATAATATTTTTCATCAACTGGACAAAATTTCTATTTATTTTATGAAAAGTAACTCTCTTTCCACTTGACTTAGTACAATGTACACATCTGTTTAAATCCGTAACACATATGATGAAAGCTGTGTCAAGAATGAAGTGGGGATATTCTTTAAATCAAAACTTCTAGGAACTGTTTGTAATTATTTCTCAACTGAAAATGAATCTGGAACTAAAGATAGCAAATATTTCTATTTGCTAACTTTGAAAACAAAATAAGGCTGTTGCATTTTCAAGTACTGTTTCCTTAAAAACTGAGACTGAAGTGTGTCCATATGTCCATAGTAAATCTTTAAAATACTCAGTCTGTGATGAATTAGTTTATGAAAACTACATTGCTGAAGGCTTGTGTCACCTTGCCTAAAACGGCATCCTAAAGTGTGACCGGGGCCTCTCAGTGTGTCTGAAGTTGAAACATAGGATAAAGTTTATAGTAGGCTCTTCCATCTGTAGGATCTGCTTTTTAAAGTAGAACAAGGGGTTCATAGAATTGCTTTATAAACTAATGGCAGTTGCTCAAACTTATTCCTGATCTAAGCACTACAGCAGTATCACTCAAGACATTGGCTCTCACCAATTTCTAGATTTACAAACTTCATTCTGAAATTATAATGAAGTGCTTAAGCTCTAATAACAGTATTCTAAAACTTTAATTGGAATTTTTAGCTGCTCAGCTAAGGCAGTATTGTTTGCTTTTCAGTGGGCTTGAGATGAGCTATTTTTTCAGGTTGAGAGCTGCCCTTGGACTGTGTGTAAAGAGAGAATTTAAACACACATCATACTGTATTTCAGTTATTTTTTAAATTCCCCCAATTCTTTGCTGACTTCTTTCCATGATAGCTGAGGAGGTGAAGAGAGCCACAAAAGATAATCATGGGAGCCTCATGTGAGGGTTATAGCTTATGTGGTAACTTACATATCCAGAACAGATATCACCATACTGATCATTCTTTTCACAGACAATACTACTGGTATGATGAGCGAGGAAAGAAGATCAAATGTACAGGCCCTCAGTATGTTGACTTTGTCATGAGTTCAGTGCAGAAGTTAGTGACGGATGAGGATGTCTTTCCTACTAAATATGGTATGTTTATTCTCAGAAAAAACTAATTCAGCTAGATCTTTATGGCTTTAGTATATATAAATTCTATATTGATCAATGTATGTGTCTGACAGTTCATTCATTAGTGTTTGATCCAATTTAAGTTAAATGAATTTAAATCATATCTCATTTCATTTGTGCACATTTCTACTACTCATTAGCTACCTCTAGTTCAGCAACAAACTTGACCAAAAATGTTCTCCATCTAAAATCTGTAATTTACGATGGTTGGGGGTTGGAATAATCACCTTCTCCAAAATGAGCAAGTCACACTTTTTGAGCAGCAAAAAAACTTCTTCGGCTTGTCAACCTAATATGTACCTAATAGAGTTGAAGGACGAAAAATACAGCGCAGTAGCTTGAACAGGTGTTGTTCATGACTGAGGGGCCATCACTACCAAAGCCATTGAAGCTGAAAGAGCTTCAGCTAGTCTCTTGTCCTCCCGGCCTTAGAGCCACTGCTACTATCTGCACTGTAAAAGATACACACCCTGAAGGAATAGGAAGTAAGGCTGATGGGACAATTCTTGCAGAAAGCCAATTAGCTGGACTTCTTTCCCCCAGAGGAACACCAATTGCCCTGTAAAAGGAGTCTAGAAATGTGTGGCTTGTTTTAAACAATATTTAATTAATTATTGTTTTACTGTTTTTAATTGCTTGCAAATCACCTCAGGATAATTTTTCAAGTAAGCAGATATTTTCAGAAGTTCCCCTGAAGATGATGGTTTCTCTTCCTTTCACTCTCCCTCCTTTTCCCTTTCACAACAGGCAAAGAATTCCCAAACTCATTTGAGTCCCTAGTGAAGAAGATCTGCAAGTATCTGTTTCATGTGCTAGCCCACATCTATTCGTCACACTTCAAGGAAACACTGGCACTGGAATTGCATGGACATTTGAACACACTCTACGTACACTTCATCCTTTTCATCCGGGAGTTTAATCTGGTGGACCCTAAAGAAACAACCATCATGGATGACCTCACAGAGATCCTCTGCAGCAGTAGTGGGAGCAGTAGCAGTAACGGAAGTGGCAATGGTAGTGGTGGCGGCAGCGGCAGCAGTAGTAGTAGTGCAGTAGCACAGAACCACGTGAAGGAGAGATGAATCTTCCCAACCAGAGCAAAACCAACGCTAACACTTTTTTAAAAAAGGAAATTACTCTCTATTCTCGGATGTATGCATATATATATATGTGCTTGTGTGTGTGAGTGTGTATGTGTGTGTATGTACACACACACACACACACATATATATACACATATATATGCATATGCAGACATACACAACCAAGACAGCTTAAGCAAGTATGCTACCACCACAGGACTTGTAGACACAAGGGACTATATGGAGTTTTGGTTAAATGCATCATCCTTGGCAAGACGTTGCACCAGTTCTGTGGGGATTTTTTTCCTTCCCTCCATTTCTCTCCTGTTTCTTCCTTATTCAATGGATTATGAGTGCTGTTTTTAAGAGACGAACCACATTTTTTGAGTTGGGCTACTGCTTTTGTGTTCCTCTCCCCCCCCCCACCCCCATTCTGTCCACTTCCTTTTGGGAAGTGGTTCTTGTCTTGAATGCAAGCTCCCTTTTATCTGTCTCATTTCCTCTCTAAGATGGTAGTACTACCATTTTTTTTTAAAAAAAAGTTGTAAACCGTGACTTAACATGTAAAGTGGCTTACATGGGGGGCACATTGAGACTTGTCTTTGTTTTTACTTCAGTTGACCCTTTTCCTTTCCTTCTCTCAGACCTTTTTCATCAACCCTTCATTGGGTTTTAACAGGGAGGAAAATTGTTTTGGCCCAACTAAAGTAGCAATAAGGCTTCCAGTGCACTTAAGGAAGGTGGTTCCCTGATCTCCCTGGCCTCAGTATGTGGATCTTGAAAGCACCCACAAAAGTTCTGGTGTTTCTAGAGAGAAATGCCGGGAGATATAGTAGCCAGGGGAGGAATCCCACCCTGTGGTAAAAGCCATGACTGCTTTTTTTTCGCCAAAGGGGGCCTGAGACAGGATGGGAAGGGGGCACACAGTCTGCCACCACTATGCTAAGAGAGATGGCTGTTGGCATATAATTATGTTGTTGGCTTATTTTAGTTCATCTGTCCAATAATAATAATAATAATAAATTCTATCAGACACAAGTTGCATTTTCTTTGCTGCATTAGCAGGCATTTTTTGTTTTTCTTTGCATGGTAGAAATCTAAAGGTAAAGGTTCATTGGACATACCATGGGAAGTTGCTTATGGGTTTATTTGGGGTTTCCCCCCACCCCCTCATTTTTTTTATTTTCTTAAGGTATGATATTAAACATGAGGATATTAAGCCTGATATTTTCCATTCAAGTTACACATCCTTCTGATAAATATTTGGCATTTCTTCTTTTCACATTTCATTCTAAACGAACTCAGCTCTTTTCTGATCAGATCAAGGGAAAGATTTCCTGTGAAGTTCATGTTCAATTTTCAGGGATAATGTGCCCAAACTGCTGTGAGAATCAGTATTCTGTTTATATTAGGTTCCACTCAAGAACTAATTTACATTTTCTCATGCTACAATTTACTTCAAAAATGTGGGGTAGGGAGAAGACTATTTAAAATACCTTAGGTGAAACTATTTTTCCTCTGAGGTGTGTTCTCTTTATAAAAAGTCAAATATAAAGGTTTCCTCTATCCAGTTGTGTCTGACTCTAGGGGGTGGTGCTTATCTTCATTTCCCAGCCGAGGGTTAGGATTAGCCAATGTTATCTGAAGATACTTTGTGGTTATGTGGCCAGCAGGACTATACGCCAAGGCGCAGGGAACACTGTTAACTCGCCACTGAAGTTGTATCTATTTGTCTACTCACATTTGCATGCTTTTAAACTGGGCAAGAGCTTGGGCAGGAAAGGGAGCGCACCCCTATTGTGCAGTACTTGGGTCTTGAACTGCTATCCTTTCAGTCAACAAGCCCATCGTCTTAACTGCTAGGCCACCGTGCCCCTTCAAATATTATACTGGACTAAACCCTAGAACAGGATTCAAAAGAAGTCCTACCTGTAGGAAGTACTGGTGGCAATAATAATGATTGTGCCTTCACTTTAAAAAACAAACTTCAGGGTACTAATGATGAGTTAAGACAAACAAAAGTAAAACTTACAAATGATATTAGGCAGCTATTAAAATAGTAACTTCTAATAAAAGAAAACCATTTGCATTAAAAGGCCTTAAGGCAAGAACAAAACAAGCCTCTTAAAGGTCTAGAGTCCAGATGCAGCCATGGAAAAGTAACGTTCACCGAAACTCTGCTTCATTTATGGATGAAACCCCTTCTGTACAAACCTGGTTTTCCCAAATTGTGCTCCCATGTCTGATGAACCAGAACACTACTACCCAAAATATTGTTACAGGCATGCCTTAGGACTGGTCAACTTTGGCACCAGGTGAAAATTTTGAAAGAAAGCTATCTTAGTGGTTCGGACATTAAATGTCCTATTGGGCAAACTGCATTTTAATTTATTTAACTGAATAACAGAATAAACAGAGTTTGAAGGGATATTCGAGGTCCAACCCTAAATTTATTCAACTTCAGCATCATCTGATTCCAAACTTACTTATATGTATGTATGTATGTATGGCATTCAGCTTTGTTCGGGTATTTTCCCACGTCACTGTAGTTGTGTAGTTGAACCTTCAGAAGCCTGATGATGGCAGATGAGATTCTGCCGAAACGTTGCTACAACTTTAAAAGCACAACTACAATGATGTGGGAAAATACCCAAAAATATATATATATATATATTTATATATATATTTATATATTTATATATATATAAAAAAAATAAAAAAAAATAAAAATAATAAAAATAAAGGATCGAAGAAGAGCATATGAGATGAAGCTGGCCTACCACCCTAATGCAGAGCTTTCTGAAATGCAGTCAGTGTAAGAGCCACACAGATGTAAGGCACCTGATCCCAGAGAGCAGATGCTATGACAAAGAAAGTCCATTATTTTTTCATATGGTTGCAGCTGTGGGACAATTGGTGCCTTTTGAGGCAAATACATGTACTATCTTTGCACCCAAAGCAAATCACCTTCTCTATGTCTCCAATAATTCATAGGAGCCCCCTCCCCCCAAGGAACCATCAGTACATGTGGATATCTACTCCCTTCCTTTCCGAGGAAATCTCTTCCTGAGAGAGCCTTCATTTTCTGAGTTTTTGGACTATGACTGTTGATCAGTTATCCTCAGACTGGGAAGCTATTACTTTATCTGAACCACTGTAAACTTTTCTGATTCTGTGCTCAGAAGTCAGCTTCTATAGCAGTAGTGGCTAGCCTTTTTCATTTCCTGTGCCGAAAATTCATCTCCCATGCACCCCTTGCCCTCCCGCCAGATATCCAGCAATCAGCTGGCAGGCGGGCAGGGTGTGTGCATGTGCAGTGGGGCTCTTCCGGGCAACCTCTCACGTACCGGTAGAAGTGGTTCTGCGTGCCACTTCCAGCACATGTGACATGCGTTCGCCATCACAGTTCTATAGCCTCAAGTGAGCAAAGATGTTCTCTAAGAGCCAGGAAGTCCTTGCATCACTCTTCTGCCTGGGACTTAACGAAGTTGTACATCACGCTCAGCATAAAGCACTGAATGCTCACTGTATAAGTGCCTTCTATTGGTTAGACTACTTCACTGAAGGATTACTATTTAATGTTATTGTGTTGGACAGTTGCATTGTTTAATATATCAGTTAAGGAAGGGCCGACTACTGAACTTGCACTGCTGTTTAAATAAAAAAAATGACCACATTTTGTCAGCAGGACTCCATTATGTTCAGAGGCTTTAAAGAAGAAGCAACTACCAATCATACATCTGGGAACATTTATTTTATACATGCACATGTATCACAGCTGGCATTTCTACCAGGATTGCCCTAAAATAAAGAATATCCCCAAAACCTCATGGTTTATGATTCTGAATAAAACAGGAGGAGTAATTTAACAGAAAAGAAGGAAGTGGCCTTATACCAGAATAGTTTTTTTTGCCAGCTTATTGTCTATACAAGGCTGGCATTGGCACCAGAAATATTTCTTAAGCTTATCTGGAAATTCCAAGAATTAAACCTGGAATCTTCCATAAGCAAAATCCTATGCTTTATCACAGATTACACTATTTTTATAACTGATGTCTCAAATAGTTCAAATGTTGATTTTGATCAGTGTCTTAACTTTCCTCATCTTCCATTTCCCAGTAGGATTGCCCAAAAATTAAGATAGGCTGTATTCAAGCCAATTTTTAGCTATGTTTGCATAATAGTGCTTGCAATACTTCAGGATTTCTTTACCTTGGGAACTAAAAATTCTGGCAAACATTTTAATGCTTCCACTTATCTTTTTTGGAGAGGAATCGAAAGTATGAACATTTGAGCTTCCTAGATAGCCCCTTATAATTTCTTTCATTTGTTTAGTACAAAACGCACGATCGTCAGGTCAAAAAAGATTTGCACATATATTGTGAGAATCCATCTTAATTCAAGAAATGTATCTTTGGTTCAAAAACGACCCTTGTGAGATGAAGACAAAGTTAAGAACCAGGCAGAGTGGGGAAATAAGGAAGAAATAAGTCACACAGAACACAAGAGTAATACAATTGGAAGGCCCCTTGGAGATCCTTCTAGTCCAACCCCTGCTCAAGCAGGAGACCCTCTACCAGCGATGGCGAACCTTTTGTGGTGTGCCAAAAGTGTGCACCAGCACCCACAATGCAATGCACCCCTCCCCTTCCCCTATGCATGTGAGCACGCACCTCCCAGCTGATTTTCAGCCCATTTGAGGCCTTTTTCTCCCTCCTGGAGGCTTGAGGGAAGCCTCTGCACAGCATCAGGAGACTGAAAACATGCCTATTTCGGCACGTCTGGTATTTCCAGAAGGCCTCTTTTTCGGCCTCCCGAGGCTCCCCTCAAGTCTCAAGGAGGGCGAAAATGGCCTCAAACCAGCTGAAAATCAGCTGGGAGGTGCACACATATGCAGTGCTGGTAAGTTTGGCTGCGGCTTGCGTGCCTGCATGAATGTCTCTGCGTACCACCTGTGGCACGCGTGCCATAGGTTCCCCATCATACATTCCAGACAAATGGTTGTCCAATCTCTTTAAAATCTCCAGTGATGGAGCACCAACAACTTCTGGAGGCAAAAGCTGTTCCACTGGTTAATTAGGTTAGTTGTTCATAGGAAAATATGGCACTCATGAAAAGAGAATGAAATTGGCAAAGGGATGGACTCACACTAGTCCTTCTTCTAACTTAAACTTTGTAGCTAATGTATCCTGAAACAGGTAGTCCTTGACTTACAACCACAATTGAGCCCCAAATGTATGTTGCTAAATGAGAAATTCGTTGAGTTTTGCCCCCCTTTACGATTTTTCTTAACCACATTTGTTAAGTGAATCCTTGCAGCCATGTTAAGTCAGTGACACGGTTGTGAGGTGATTCTGGCTTCCCTGTGGATTTTGCTTGTCAGAAGGTCGCAAAAGGGGGTCACATGACCCCCGGGATACTGCAAACATCATAAATATGAGTCAGTTGTCAGGCATCCGCATCTAAATCTAAATGACAATCTCCAGAAACAACCAGACTTGCGGTAGTAAATAGTTAAGACTAAAGGTGACTTACATAAGCCTTTCCTACAACAAATAAAGTACAGGCTGTCTTTGTTTAGTGACTGCCTCAAACAGTGACTGCAATTATGATGAAAACATAATTTTGTGACCAATGCCTGCATTTATAATCTATGTAGCATCTTTCCCTCAGTACATACTGTCCTTGTACCTCATTTCTACCCTTCCAGAGTGCAGAGATTTCCTAAAAAGCTATCTGTTCCTGAGTTGCGTTCCTCCACAATACATCTCTGAAAAGTGCTAACCACATGTTAATAAACTCAGCTCTGTGACCTTAATTTCTTGATTAGGACAGTGGGGCTTGCAGCAGCTGCCTGAAATTACAAATGACAAGACCCTAATCGATTTCACACCAAAGGCTTTTGTTTGCCTCCTAAGGATTCATGGCTTGCAGCCTCAAGTGTACCGGGCAAACTGCGAGTGCTAATACACTCCTTTCAGTGCGTATTCCCTGTTGTGTGCTTGTTCACTCTCTTATCGTC